GATCTATCAGGCATACAAAAATGTGTCTAATGGTATCTCATTCATAAAGAAAAAGATTATCTGAGTAAATCTAATATGTTTCAGAACAGTCATTTCTTCAGTTAATTGCGAAATTTATCAGTAGTTTTAGTTTTTATCAAGAGATAGGTGGATATAACATAATAGTCGGGAAACTCTCAGTGAAATAAGTACGCCAGCTAATTATGTTAAAATTATAGACAACATATTTAGTTCAAATTCGGTAGATTGTTCTCACGAAGAAAATTTTTTTCCAAGGAGAAGTCCACTTTAATTGCACTATACGATCGATAAAAAAAGTCTTTAGTGCTCCATAAATTTTTTTTTTTTAATAATCTTGTAGCATTGTTGTTGGACCCTTTTTGACATTTTTAAGATTAAATTAAAATTTGCTAGAGGACTTTATTTTTCAATCATACAGTATTATGTTACCGGGTGATTTTCAAAATTTCTGCTCTAGTTACCCACAACGCTTATGGGTGAAATTGAGACTGCTCACGTAAGCTCTTCAGTAATTAAATCAGAAATTTAAAAAATCATCCGGTATAAAAGACAATGTTTTTTCTTTTAACAAATGAGTAAATTGAACTTATTATTGAAATCGATTTAGCGATTTCAAGAACAATAAGATCTAATCATTCAAAATGTTCAAAACAAACGAAGAGAATTTTTTTTTCTTTTACATGAAATCTTTTCACTCGTTACATTTTAATTACAGTTTATGCATTTCTTAAGGTGATTCAAGTCATAAGATCTGATGTGATTAAGTAGACGGTTGTACATTCTGAAACAGTAGTAACCAATGCCATTTTTGTTCTGTAGTGATTAGTTGATATCTGGTTGTATATATGTAAATAAGATATTGTAAAATATATACTGCTATATATACCCTATATCAAGAGAGCAGACATTTTAAGCATGAAATAAAAAACTATAGAAATCCGTCTGGAAAGATATATAACATGATAGTTTGACAATTAATTGATTTCAATTGTCATAATAGATTTAGGGCCGGTTTATAGAACAGCGAGTTAAATATTTAATCCTCGATTAGTTTAACAGAGAATTAAAATGTGGAATATGAGCCCGTGATTGGTTGAAACATGCACGTTTCCTAGCAACGGACCTCAGTTAAAAGTTAATCGCGAATTAACTTTAACTTCGCTTTCTATAAATCGGGTCTTAGTTAAATAAAATACATAGGTACATGTTAACGATTACTGTAAATTTATAAATTGCATGTGGTTTGTAATCTATCATTATCCCAGGTTTTTATTTGAGGTTGTGTTGAAGTAAATAGAACAATTATGCACTAATGAACTGTCTTGTTCATGTTTATTAATCACGGTTTTTTATATATTTATATTTTTAAGGAATAAAGGGAAAAGTACCGAGTCAATGGCAACCTTTGGAAATACCAAATGTTGAACAAATCCTTTTTGCTTTAATTCGTTTCCATAAAACTGACGTTATCCGCTCTAAGAAAAGGTTACTTACGCCAATACCTCATAGTTTCAATGTTAGAGGATCGATTATAAGCTATTTCAACGTGATTAGTTATATAGGTACTAAAAATTTCGTCGCCTGAGAACTTTTTTGATCCACAGACCGAAGCGTGCTCAGGCCAGTGTCGACTCTAAGCGCTCAGAATTTCTGCGGGAAATAGTTATTATTTAGATGCATTTATTTCCAAGCATAATATCACATCTCACATTTTTCACTCGATTTTGTCATGCAACTATTTTTTTTTAACAAAGAATTAATGCTTCAATTGGGCTTGATACTAACAAAACGTCCTAAATTAGCAATACTAGTGGAACCGTAATCTTGTAATAGATTTTTTTGGGAAAGTGCAGTTATTTTAATATTTTAGAAGTATTGTGTTCCATTTTGTATTAATTTTTACATATTTTGAGTCACAATTTTGGTGGTTATTTATTTTCCATTCTTTCTCAATTTTTCGAATTTTGGACTTCTCGACTTTTCGACTCCTCGATTTCTCGATCTTTTGATTTTTCGATTGCTGGATGTCCCAGTTTTTGAATTTTTCGATGTCTCGATTTTTCGATTAGTCAGTTTTTCGATTTTTGAATTATCCGATTTTTCAATTTTTTAATTTTTTAAATTTTCGAGTTTCGATTTCTCGGTTTGTTGATTCTTCAGTTTTTCGATTTTTAAATTTTAGATTTTCGAATTTTTATTTTTTTGATTTTTTGATATTTGGATTTCCTCATTTTTCAATTTTACGATATTTTAATTTTTCACTGTTTTAAATTTTAGATTTTTCGATTTTTCAGTTCTTCAATATTTTTTAATTTTTCAAATTTTAACCTTTCTGAATTTTCTGTTTTCCGATTTCTCAATTAATTTATTTTTTTACTTTCCCATTTCTCGACTTCCCAAACTTTCAATTTTTCAGTTCTTCAGTTCTTCAATCTTTCAATTTTTCAGGTTTTTGATTTTTCAGTTTTTCGATTTTTCAAGTTTGCGACTTTGTTTTTTTGACTTTTCGACTGTTTTATACTTCGAGTTCTCAATTTTTAACATTTCAATTTTCAAAATTTTATGTTTTTAGATTTCTTGAGTTTTCAGTTCTTCTAGAGGGTGTTATTGTATATGTTACGTACAACAAAATTGACAGTTATTCGCAGTCTAAAAAGTCTGAAAAACTTATTTTGTGTTATCAAAATTATAAGGGGAAAATTAATCCCTATCCAACCTTTTTAGAATAGGTAAAATTAATTTATTTTAGTAAATCCTAGTAACTGTAATAATAAAACTTTTGTCAATACTAAATGTTGCTATAGAAATGAAAGATGATCTTTTTCGTCCTTCGTCCTCTTCGTCCTTCGTCGTTTTCGTCCTTTGTCTTTTCGTCCTTCGTTCTTTTTCGTCCTTCGTCCTTTTCGTCCTTCGTCCTTTTGGTCCGTCGTCCTTTTCGTCATTTTCGTAATTTTCGTCCTTGTCATCTTTTTCGTCTTTTTCGTCCTTTTCGTCCTTTTCGTCCTTTTCGTCCTTTTCGTCCTTTTTCGTCTTTTTCATCATTTTCGTTCTTTTCGTCCTTTTCGTCCTTTTTGTCCTGTTAGTATTTTTAGTCCTTTTAGTCCTTTTCGTCCTTTTCGGCCTTTTCATGATTTTCGTTCTTTTCGTCCTTTTCGTCCTTTTCGTCCTTTTTCGTCCTTTTCGTGCTTTCCGTCCTTTTTTGTCCTTTTGGTCCTTTTTCGTTCTTTTTCGTATTTTTCGTCCTTTTTCGTATTTTTCCTCCTTTTTGTTTTTTTTTCGTCCATCTCTGATAGAGGCGTACAACGAATTTGGGCATAAATTTTAATAATTTTTATCTCTAAAAGGAGAACACATTTACCTGAACTTTTTTTTACTTTTAGCACCCATACTTCGAAACCAACTGAAAGATTAAAAAATCTAAAGTTTAAAAAACGAAAAACTGAAAATCCAAAAAAAAGTCGAAAAATCGAAAAGTCGAAGAATCGAAATATTGTAAAATCCCAAAACTGTCAGAAATATCCAAAAATTGAGAAATTAGTAAATTAGAAAATTGAGAAATCGAAAAACCAAAAAAGTATTGAGGAATTGAAAAATCGAAACTTCGAGAAGTCGAGAAATGGAAAAATCAAAAATAGATTAATTGAGAAATTGGAAAACTGAAAATTTAGCAACGTCAAAATTTGAAAAATTGGAAAATAGAAATACAAAAGAACTGAAAAATCAAAAAATCGAGAAATCTAAAAATTTAAAATCTAAAACATTGAACAATTAAAATATCGCAAAATTGAAAAATCGAAAAGTCAGAAAATAAAAATTCGAAAATCTAAAATTTGAAAATTGAAAAATTGAAAAATCGGATAACTGAAAAATCGAAACATCGAAAAATTGGAAAATTGAAAAGCTCAAAAGTCAAAAATCGAAAAACCGAGAAAAAGAACGAGCAGTCAAAAACCGAGATGAACAGTTATTAGTTGAAAAATTGATAAAGGGAGAAAAATTAAAAAAGAAAAATTGAAAAATAGAAAATTTAAAAATTCGGACATTTGAAAACTTGAGAAATCGAAACACCTAGAATTTTAAAAACTGAAAAATTAAAACATCGAAAAGTGGAAAAATTGATAAATCGAAGTAATCAACAGTCAAAAACTTGAAAAATCTAAGGTTTAACGAAAAATTGAAAAGCCAAAAAGTAAAAAATCGAGAACTCAAAAAGTCCAGGAATCTAAAAATCCAGAAGTCGATAAATCGATATATTGAAAAATCCTAGAACTGAAAGAAATATCGAAAAAATTGAGAAATTAAAAAATTGCAGAAAATAGGACTTGAGTATTCCTAGGGACAGCCCAAATTTCAAAAACATTCAACAAACCATTCTCGCGATATTCAACTGCTTCCATAATTTTTAGCCACCCTATATGAAAATTCTGAAAACAAACGTTTCAACACGTAAATCTTAAGAACTCTAATAAATTATTTCTACAACAAAAATTCGAACTTGTAAAGGATTTATTTACAGAATTATTCATACTTACCACGTATAGACATACTTGTAGCAGTGTCAGAAATGAACACACCGTAATTTTTCAATCAGGACGATAATTATTAATATTCAATTGTCCATGTTACAATAGTGGAACTATCTTCACATTCTCCACTAAGATATTTATTAATTAACCAATATAAAATAATACAAGTACGAGTTTAAATGGAAAAACATGAATTACGAAATTACAAGTACCTATTAAGGAACTATTAATAGCTTCGCTTCCAGCATTGCCTTACAGAAAATATTATATTGTCATTTACTTTCAAGTAACCATTTATGTACAGTATCATTATTTGCAAATATGTTTTACATTTTAAACAATTTTAAATAAGTAAATTATCGATGGTTCTTTTCGGTGCACCTGTACTAAATTGTTTTATTTTATGTAGTGACAAAAACCGGAACAAAACCTTTCTCAGTGATGTGATTATACCACCAAATAACACGTTTCGACACTAAGTATAAATAAGTATTTTCTTGAAAAATACCTCAGTTTGCGGCGAACCATTAAAACAGAGTGACTAAATTTGTCGTGCTTTGGAAGGTATGCGATAAATAGTAAATTTTTGTGATTACATACACAACCAAACAAACGAAACGTAATGATTTCGGTTATTAAATGGGCAAGGTTAAAGTAAACTTCGCTTCATCATTCAAATTAATTAAGCTTGTTGTTCTCTATTTTCGGAAATTAATAGTTAAATTTATGTTATAGTGTGGAATAAATAGTTAGTTAGGACGGTTTTTTTTAAATGAGTTCTAATTTTCCGATTTTTTTAGCACCTGTGACAAAATGTTCGCACATCTGTCGACAACTGTTTTTCTCGCCATAATTGTTTCGTTATGGACAACCCTATATTTTTACTTCAGAAGAAATTTCAACTACTGGAAAGATAGGAAAGTACCGTACCTTCCACCCATGCTCCTTTTTGGTAACGCCTTTGAGGTATTCACATTTCGCAGAAACATTGGTGAAATGGCTCGAAAAATTTACGAAAGTACTACAAAACCATTTATTGGATTTTTTATTTGTGATGAACCATATTTATTAATTCGAGATCCTGAATTAGTCAAATCAGTGCTAGTTAAAGATTTCGCACTTTTTAGTAATCGAAGTGTATCAGATAACAAAGAAGTTGATCCCATGGGATCTCATCTGCTTTTTATTTTAAAAACACCCGACTGGAGAGACATGAGAAGAAAAATCTCGCCTGTTTTTAGTTCTGCAAAACTGAAGGTGATGTATGACTTAATTCATGAAGCTGGAGTGGAAATGATAAACTATCTCGACCAGAAAGTTGAACAGAATCCAGTTGTGGAAATTAGAGATATTACTGGTAAATACACCACAGAGGCGATTACTTCCACATCTTTTGGAATTAATTCCAACTGTTTTAAAAACGAGGATGCCGAGTTTAGGAAAGTGTCTCAAAGGGTACTGAATTGGAGCATTTGGGAGCGCGCAATATCCACATCTTGCTACTTCGTTGCTCCTAACTTAGTGAAGTGGTTCAAACTTAAATTTGTCGATACGGCTTCTGCAGATTTTTTGAGAAATGCATTTTGGAAAACTATGATTGAGCGAGAAAAAACCAAGTTTGTCAGAAACGATTTGCTGGATATTTTGATTGAAATAAAAAACCAGGAAGACATAGACGATCCTTATAAATTAGGTATACCATTACCAATTATAACCTGCATTAATAATATACATATTTTTTAGAGGGTGACAAGTTGGTGGCCCAAGCAACTCAATTTTTCCTGGCCGGATTTGAAACTACAAGTTCAGCCATTTGCTTTACACTTTATGAATTAGCAAGACATCCAGAAATTCAAGACAAAGTTAGAAAAGAAGTTCAAGCAACCCTCAAGAAACACGGAAAAATAACTTACAATGCGTTAAAAGAAATGGAATACTTAGAGATGTGTGTTAAAGGTCTTTTTCGCATGAATTATTAGAAATGTTAGCAATATATAGTATACTTGTAGAAGCACTGCGAAAATATCCGGTACTATCATTCTTGGATAGAAGATGCAGTTCTGATTATCAAATACCTGGTACGGACGTCGTTTTAAAAAAAGGAACAGCTGTTTTTATATCTGGTTGGGGATTACATTATGACAGTAATTATTACCCAAATAGTAGTTATATAGTGGGGGTTCTAGACCAGGTCAAATGAGGTCAAACTGGTCCAGCTCCCCCATTACTTTTCATCGAGCGGTCATTGACCTTTCATTTGTTGTCGAGCTTGTCGGTGCACGTGGCTGACCTTGCCAGCTGGTCCAGCTCCCCCATTACTTTTCATCGGGCGATCGTTGACCTAGTCGTTGCTCGACCTTGGTCGTTTATTGCCCTCGTTCATCTCGAGATCTATCCCCTCTTTTCGTTTAGGTCGGGGAGGGATCTCGGACGCAATCTCGCATCCCCACTTCCGTTTTATACTTGTATAAAAGTCGATGGATTCGTCTGTAGGAATTACGTTTATTGCCCTTGGTCATCTCGAGATCTATCCCCTCTTTTTTTTTTAGGTCGGGTCGCTGCACGGGGCTGGCCTTGGCTGACTTGCCTTAGGACTTCACGTGCCTGACCTGTACGTTTTGGCAATGCCTTTTACTCGATCGACCTGACCCGTTTTTCCATAGTCAGGTTGGCCGAGCGGTCTAAGGCGTCAGATTTAAGCTCTGATTCTCGAAAGGGAGCGTGGGTTCGAATCCCACACCTGACAGTTTTTTTTTTTCGTTCGTTATTTTGACGTTTTGTGTTGCGATTAAATAAAACACAGTTTAATATAGTATTATTTATTGAGGAAACCTTGAATACAACCAATTGTAAATACATTTAGCATTGTTTAAAGAACAGTAACATTTTTTATTATTAGCAATATGTTTATCACATGCTGGGATTTCTTTAGATAATTTCACAGAGTCTTCAATTGTTTCGAGGTTCACAATTTTGGGGCAGTCTTTTCCTAGCGTTTCCCTAAGGTAATTTTCTTTACATTTTCCTTTTACATATAAGATCTCCACTGCATATTCCTTGATGTATTTGAACAAAATTTCTTTTACAGATATCTGCTCCTTGAAGCCGTCATTAAATCTCAACATGTGATGATAACGTTCTAGATATCTAGCTTGTTTCTTCGTTCTTTCATCGATTTCTTTGAGTTGTTTTGTAGATTTGAATGTTTCGTGTATTGTGTTAATTCCATCGTAAATCGCAAGTTCTTTTACAATGAATTCAGGTAGACAAAAACCTTGTACGTCGACTACAACCAACTTCATCGTATCAATTATGTCAACTGACTGAGAGAAAAGCGACTATGTAATTTTTTTTTATCAATCCAACTGTTGTGGGTGTTATTAAATCCTAACCATTTAACATAAAGTTGATTACCTTTCTTTTTTAAAACTTTTTCAACGAGATATACACCTGGATGCTTAACTTTCAATAGTTCCATTTCATAGAAACCACCTAAAATGTTTTCACCCTTTTCATCTTTCAAAAAATATGTGGTGGGATTAGTGAGATTAATTTTTCTTATTATGAAAATCTCATTTGACCAATTGGGTGTGTATCCCTTATCGAATATTCCGCGATACTTACTTATTCTTACGTTATCACCAACTTTAAATTTTGATTTATTGCTAACTATTTTAATCTGAGTATAAGCAGCTTTTAGAATAGCGTTTTCATTACTTTTGTTAACTTGTGACGGTTTCATTTTTATAGTACGATGATAAGAATTATTATATCGATGTACCACATTTGCCAATAAATCTAACCATTTATAATTTCCTTGCAAACTAAATTCTTTCCACATTAAATTTTTTAATGTGCGATTTACTCTTTCGACGATTGAGGCTTTTTTTAAACTGTAGACATTGTAATGATTAATTTTGTATTTTTTCATAAGATTTTGAAACTTTACGTTGTAGAATTCTTTTCCTTGATCTGTTTGTAAATTTTTGGGTAACCGTACGATTTTGGATAAAATTGTTTCCATTGCAGTGGCGATTTGTTGAGCATCTTTTGACTTTACAGGGACAGCCCACACGTATTTTGAGAAACAGTCAATAACAACAAGTATATATTTGTATCCTCTGTTTATCTTAGCATACGGTATCATTTCCACTAGATCTGCTTGTAATGTTTCATTAATACCTTTTATTATAACCTTGCGTCGTTTAAAATTAATTCTTACGGGTTTGTGCAATTCTGCAACAATATCTCTTTTAATGGGAGTTGGCTCATACACCTTCTTGCGTTTCATTTTTATCAGTCTTATGTATATAATGTGCTTTCTCGGCACTAACTAACGATTCTTCAAAATTAACAGGACATTTTATTATCATTTCTGCGAACAAATTTGGTACATTTTCTGTTTTATTTACAGCATATTTGAACGATATTCGATCACCGTTACGTAGTACAAATCCTTTCAATTCTTCTTTACTAAAAAATTTGTTATTTACATAAACATTTATTTCATTAATGGTAATATTCAATTTTGTAAGGGTTCCAATTTCTAAAGGAAACGTATAGTGCGTTTCTTTAGAATTTAATACATACGTGTTTTCCACGGTTTTATCGGATTCGAAGCGAAATATCAGATTATAGAACATATAGTTTGAAATAGTAATCATATCATTGTCGATAGAACCTGAAAGTTTAGCATGTTTTAACAAATGACGCCCGAATTTATCCAGAGTCATATTAAGCAATAATTTTAGCTTCGCGTAGTTCTTCTATTATAGAAACGATTTCGTTTTGATGACCCGAATGGCCTGCTGTCTGGGAAGCGACTAACAACTTCAGTCTTTCAACTAATTCATTTGGATCTTCCCAATACACATAATCAACTTTATTTGTGTTTACTTCTTTAAATAGTACTTGACCACCTTTCTTCGGTTTTTTATACTTCGTGAGAGTTGAGAATAATGGTCCTATAATATTTTTGTATTTCATCGAACTTGTACCCAATATTCGATCATTTTCATCGAAATTTCTTCGATATGCATTGGTTTTTTCTAAAATTTTTTTGTAAATTTCCTTGTCTTCCGTAGTAAAATGAACAGGCTTCTTTTTAAAAATAAGTTCATAAATTCCAGGAGTCCCTTTAAAGATTTCATTGTCTATTTTTATATCTGGACCTATAAATTGTACCTCCTTCGAACCAATATAAAATTTCTCTGAGAAAGTGTCATGTCTTACGCCTGTTCTGTGATCAAATTTACTTTCTGCATCGTGATGCATTTCGTCAATATATTTTCTGGGTAATTCATCAAAATCATTTAAATATTCGTTGTAAACGTCTGTATCAACGATGTTTTTAATATAATTTTTACTTAACTGAACAGATTTTTCAAGAACCTCATTGAAGTTATAATTATCATTGTCTTCCTCGGGAATGTATTGGAACACATTGTCCTGTGCATCTGTTTTATTTATTGATTCTTCGAAATCTTCCTGTGATAAAACATCATATTTTGAACTAATCGGACTCATTCGATCTTCTTTTTCATTTTTGATGGCATCGATTCTTTTCACAAGGTTAGCAACTTTTGTAGCAATTCTTTTTTGTCTTGGCGTGAAAATTTCTGCTTGCTTTGGTGTAGTAACAATAGTTTTTTTCTCACGAACAGGAGACAGAATTGTATTTTCTAACTTTCGCTTTGTAGGTGTACTGTGCTCAATGTTCGACACATTTTTTGTTTTCACATCTTGATTACTTTTTATTGGATTTTCACTCCGTCTCTCAATTAATGTTTCCAAATGTTTAGTGAGGGGTTCATACTTTTTCTCTTCATTTCGTTGAGTTGCTTTAATTAGTTCTAATTTTCTTTGTAAATCTTTTCTTTTCTTAATCAGTTTCCTTTTTAAATCAACCACATACATCAAAACCTTCTTCTGGAACGAACGCATAAGTCTGCTCAAAAAAATCGATTCTGTCCACATCGACCTAGATACAGGAGCCATTTCTAGTTTTTTCGAGGTCGCTACGTAAAAATTTTTTCAGGTCGAAAAAAAGACCATCGAAAAAGGATTCGAATAAGCCCAACATGCAACACTTAAAAAAAAAAAAAAAAAAAAAAAAGCGAAATAAGTTGTTCTTTATATGTATTGTTATATGACTACTACCATCACAACTAAATATACTAAGACATTAAAAAAAAAAATTTCAAGTTAACCAAAAACGGCTTTTTGTTGAATTTTATATGAAAACAACAAAACATCATTAAAAAGCGAAAATCAAAAACCTATAAACAATCATCAAAAATCACTGCTGTGGTGGTAGATCGTGATGAGTCATATCGTGCTGCTGGACAAATAATTTAAAACATATTAAATCACTTATTGTTGTATTAAATCGTAGTACTGATGCTGTTAAATAAATATGTTAAAGGACATTAAATAAAACTATTAATAGTAACTAATTGTTTTATTGAATCATACATTTGTTTGAGTATTGTATTTACTAAAATAACTGAAACAAATTAGTACTAAATAAAGTAACAGACAAAATACGATTGCAAAAATAATTGCTCCTACTGAAGTAAATATCCATATCCATGGTTTTGCCAAACAATATTCTGTAACATTTGCACCTGTAGAATTCCTGTATCCACTATAATCGTTAAAGATGGTGTAATTCGGAGACTTGCATCGAGTGTTGTCTTTGAAGACTAATTCTAGCCGATATTGCAGTTGGTTCGAGGAAGATACATATTTTGAATAAAACATACGTAGTTGTTCATGCCCATTTTTAATTTCTAACATTTTTCTAACAGTACATTCTTTACTACTATCAATAGTTTGTAGATAGACATCAGTAACATTGCTATCAGTCAATAAATAAAAATCTTTCTGAATTAGAATGGTTGATAGAACAAGTGTGCAGTTTAAGCCGAACATTGTTTGGATGAAATGAATAGTTTGTTGTTGCGGAATTCTATATATATAGCAACAACCATCACCACCACCATTAACGAGCAGCCAGGTCCCAACATCCCACTATTACAGTCATTATCGTGAATATGACAAAAAATGAAGCAAACCATACACGATCGTTTCTTAAACAAAAATCAATGACCTCCTTTGAACTGCGACTATTCTTAGTATTTTCTATTATTAACCAATTGG